CCACACAACGAGTCACGATCATCCTTAAAAATAAACCACACTAGGCCACCACACAACGAGTCACGATCATCCTTAAAAATAAACCACACTAGGCCACCACACAACGAGTCACGATCATCCTTAAAAATAAACCACACTAGGCCACCACACAACGAGTCACGATCATCCTTAAAAATAAACCACACTAGGCCACCACACAACGAGTCACGATCATCCTTAAAAATAAACCACACTAGGCCACCACACAACGAGTCACGATCATCCTTAAAAATAAACCACACTAGGCCACCACACAACGAGTCACGATCATCCTTAAAAATAAACCACACTAGGCCACCACACAACGAGTCACGATCATCCTTAAAAATAAACCACACTAGGCCACCACACAACGAGTCACGATCATCCTTAAAAATAAACCACACTAGGCCACCACACAACGAGTCACGATCATCCTTAAAAATAAACCACACTAGGCCACCACACAACGAGTCACGATCATCCTTAAAAATAAACCACACTAGGCCACCACACAACGAGTCACGATCATCCTTAAAAATAAACCACACTAGGCCACCACACAACGAGTCACGATCATCCTTAAAAATAAACCACACTAGGCCACCACACAACGAGTCACGATCATCCTTAAAAATAAACCACACTAGGCCACCACACAACGAGTCACGATCATCCTTAAAAATAAACCACACTAGGCCACCACACAACGAGTCACGATCATCCTTAAAAATAAACCACACTAGGCCACCACACAACGAGTCACGATCATCCTTAAAAATAAACCACACTAGGCCACCGCACAACGAGTCACGATCATCCTTAAAAATAAAGGGGGTAAGTTTCTAAAATAAACGAGGATGCTGCGTCGGTCTATAACAAGGTAGTTTTGGTTTTATCAACTGAGTTGATAAATGTAAATTATCCACCGTAAAAAGTTTCAAAGTTTCGAGCGTTAGTCCTCCATCAGAGCGAATGGTGATGTATGGGATAACGTTGTTTGCGAAGCGACAGCTTCAAACCTTCACGTCTGACTATAACTTTTCTTGTACAGTGTGAGTGAGAGAGAAAAAAGAGCAGATTTAATTTATAAAAACTAATTCATCGTCACGAATTTCAGAACCACTGGGATTTTCAATATCATATATTCTTCTCCTTGTGACGATGAACTCCCAGTTTGTTCAAGATTGTTTAAGTGGATTATTTGAATTCTCTCTGGTCGAAATTCGATAATTGAAACAATTCAGTTTATCGAGTTTCCGTTTCTTTCGCTTTTCTCGGCACCCAATCGACTTCAAAGACTCACCTGACCAGAAAATACTAACTTACCACAAGCAGTTTGATTTCCGTTTGCTACTGACGAGTTATCCGGCGAAAGGTTTCAAAATACAACCGTTCAATAACACAAAGAATAATTAATTAATTCTATGTCCTGAGAGGGGTCACCATCTCCAAGTCACGCAAACAGGCTTCGTGACGTTTACACATCCCAGACTTAAACAAAAACATCGTGCACGTAAATAATAGCACTATCCCATCGCTTAAATTACGGCAGTGATCTTCAATTTTGCCGAAGTAGCAAGTAAGGGAAACTCACGGTAAAAGTGGACATTTATTTCTCATTTTCTTCTGTAGCTGAACCTGGGCGAACGCGACTCATACGGTATTTTAAATTGATCACTTCGGACATAATGTTTAATCAAGAAAGAAGGACATCCTCTGTTGATTGAATTTACAAGGTACAGCTCTCAGCAGAACAAGATGAAGCTGGGTCTTCCTGTTCCTTCTGATGATACACCAACCTACACCCAACCCTCCTCCCCAACCCGTTGCGTTTTACTGGCCCCTCAAACGAAAGCGGTGTGCGCACTCCGATTGCATTGCATTGTGGTAGCGTTATTTTCAATATGACGGTAAAAGCGGTAGAAATGGATAGAGCTTGACTGAATATTGCGTAAAAGTTAGGCCGTTTCTTTTTTCTTTCACTATAGGTAAATATAATTTCATACATTCTGAACGTGTAGAAATATTTTTTCGTGCGTGTTTGTCACGTATTATTTCGTTCTCAAGTACAAACGCAAGCACTGTATTTTAGCATGAAGTTTGAGACCGGTTTTCGAGCAAGTCAAATTCGTTGTAAGTCGTAGTTTGAAGCCTTTCAAAGATTTGTATGGCCACTTTGATGCTTCTTCAACAGCTCTGACCAAACGCGCTCAAACGCGCTCCAACGGTACAAATTTTTTATGCATTCTAAGTGATGGTGTTTAACTAAGACCCTCTTGTGGAGCAAAAAGGCCCATTGTTGCGTTTCGGATGTGTTACTGTACATAGCGTTACTACTACAAGGGCATTTATCAATCGTGTTGTAAATCTACTTTCCTTAGTGAAGGAAAATTAAATAATCGCGAGTGTTGTGTGGTAAATCTTCTATCTTGGTCATGGAATGAAGGACAGTTTAATTAGAGCAATGAAAAGAGTCACTTGATCCATGAAAACCTCTACCTTGCGTGTTGCGACACCCCGGAAAGCCGGAAGGCAAAAGGCAGTCGACCGTTGAAAGGTTTTGATAGGCCTGTGCGTCTCCTACCATTCGCTAACGCTTTTAAATCTTCTACCCTCAAAGTTTAGCTCTTATTGAGATATCTTTTGATGACTTTCCTTTGCGATGTGATGATAAGGGTCAGTTTTTCATAATTCTTTATCTGTATGCTCTTGAGGTTTGGCAAAGCCCGATGAGATTCCTTTTGAAAAGGAAATATTATTTTCTTTTGAGCGCGCGCAATTTTCTTTGTTTCGGAGTATACTTCTCTCCTGCAGTAATAACTCCAGAGATACGTTTCTCAAACCCTCATACAAGTTTCCTCTATACTTGAAGGGTATTTTGAAACTCTGTACGTTTTTACTAAACGTGGAGCGCGACATTCGTTCTTAGCGGGCGTCGAGTTTCTCCATTAACAAATCCCGTATGACACCCTGTGGAAGAACCTGAAATCGGCCATCCTGAAGACATCTGAAGAAGTTCTTGGGTACCCAAAGAAGAACCAGGACTGGTTTGATGAAAATGAAACGGAGACCCAGGACTTACTGGCAAAGAAGAGGGCAGCCCATCAAGCCCACCTAGCACAACCGACCTGTCCTGTGAAGAGGGCTAACTTTCGACGCATGTATTGCTCTACAACGCAGACTCAGAGGGATAAAGAACGATTGGTGGGACCACCTTGCTATGAAAGCTCAGCTGTGTGCTGACGCGGGTCACTATAGAGGCTTCTACGAGGCGCAGAAAGCAGTGTATGGTCCCACCCACCAGGTCGAGAGCCCCCTGCGCAGCTCAGACGGTCAGGTACTCCTCCCTGACAACAACAGCATCCTCACTCGCTGGTCGGACACTTCCAGACCCTCCTCAGTGTAGTGTATAGGATGCCAACGGGCATGAAATATGCGCGATGTAATGCGAGGCGTAATGGTGTGATGTAATACCCTCGAGACCTGCATATATACAGCATGTGTTTAATTATTTAGTTAGTTCTCTTAGGTACGTGAATAAAACCGATTTCATTTTAACCGCTGTGTACTACATTGGCGACGAGGATTTCGAGAATTGTGAAGATTTAGAGGACTTCAAGGATTTCGAGGTTTTGTCCAAGGTTTCAGGAGTTTCGTCCGNTTCCTCAACTCTCACTCAAAGAGGAGCTCGATGAACCACTCACCCTCGATGAACTGAGAGTAGTCATAAATCAACCCAGGAGTCGCAAAGCAGCAGGAGTTGACGGCATTCCACCAGAAATCTGGAAGAATGGGGGTCTGGCACTCCTTAACAAACTTCAGGTTCTCCTCGTCTGTTGCTAGAAGCAGGGCAAGCTGCCACAAGATCTTCGTGATGCTACTATCATAACCCTGTACAAGAACAAGGGTGTAAAGTCTGAGTGCTCCAATTACCGGGGCATAACACTACTTTCCGTCGCTGGCGAAATGCTTGCCAGGATCCTGCTTAACAGGCTTGTACCAACCATCGCCGACGAAAACATCCCCGAGAGCCAGTGTGGCTTCAGAGCCAACAGAGGCACGACGGACGTGTTGTTCGTCCTCCCCCAACTTCAGGAAAAGTACCGTGAACAAGACAAAGGACTCTGTCACTTTTGTTGACCTTACAAAAGCCTTTGAAAGCGTGAGTAGGTCTGGTCCATGGCTTATTCTCGAACGTCTTGGCTGTCCCCCCAAATTTCTACAGATGGTTATCCAGCTGCATGAGAACCAACGCGGCCAGGTCAGACTCAATGGCGACCTTTCAGAACCCTTTCCTATCTCCAACGGCTTGAAGCAGGGCTGTGTCCTGGCACCGACCCTCTTCAGCATATTCTTCACCATGATGCTCAAGCAAGCTACAGTGGACTTGGATGTTGACGAAGGGGTGTACATCAGGTACCGTCTGGATGGTAGTCTCTTCAATCTACGGCGACTCCGTGCTCACAAAAAGACCCAGGAGAGGCTGATACGAGATCTTCTCTCCGCGGACGACGCTGCCCTTGTTGCTCACAATAAGCGAGCTCTTCAGCGCATTACATCATGCTTTGCAGATGGCTCGCGGCTGTTTGGCCTCGAGGTCAGCCTCAAGAAGACAGAGGTCCTTCACCAGCCTGCCCCTCAAGAAGAATACCGCCCTCTCCGCGTCAGCATAGGCGACACACAACTGAAATCAACCTAGCAGTTCACCTACTTGGGTTGTACCATCTCATCCGACGTCAAGATGGACAAGGAAATAGACAACAGACTGGCAAAGGCAAATAGTTCTTTCGGCAGACTATACAAAAGAGTCTGGCCATGGAACAACAAGAACCTGAAAAGTAAAACAAAGATCCGCGTCTACAGGGCTGTTGTTCTGACCACCCTTCTCTACGGCTCTGAGACATGGGTCACTTACCGCAGCCACATCTGCCTCCACTGGTGCGATTTCAACACCAATGTCGAAGTCCTGAAGCAGACCGAGATTCCCAGCATTAAAGCCACGATCCTGAAGCACCAGCTCCGATGGGCTGGTCATGTTTCCCGAATGGAAGACTACCGCCTAACTAAGATTGTCATGTACGGTGATCTCTCAACTGGACATCGTGAGAGAGGGGCTCCCAAGAAGAGGTTCAAGGACAGCCTAAAGAAGTCAATCAGCACCTCTAACATCGACCACAAAGAGTGGTCTGACCTAGCTACAGACCGTGATACCTGGCGCCACACAATCAGCCAAGCCACCGCTCAATTTGAGGAGGATAAGCGGCAGAGGAGGAAGGCCCGCACCGCCTCCACTTTCAATCCTGACATCACCTTTCATTACAGATACTGCCCGCGGATCTACCTTTCCCGCACCGGTCTGGTCAGCCACGAACGTGCCTGCAGCCGACGTAAATGTGGAAAACCTTTTTAATCTTCGTTCGCGAANAAAACCAAAGTAAACAAAAGTAAAAGCCAGGTAGAAAAAAAGAAGAAAATGTTCAGTTGTTGTTCAATTTGGATTGTTAGTCCAATACTATTTTAACGTTCTCAGCCATATCTATTCTTTGACGAGAACCACAGATAAAATACTGCATATCTGAGGAATGATAAGGGAGATCAACAAACTTTGGTGTGGTAGAGTGCAAATTAAATTTTCCCGAAAAGAAAGCAAAAAATTCGTCTAGTAATCTTATACTGGCGTGTCCGAAATGGAAAGTTCAGTACTGGGTATAAGTTCTTCTTTGAATACCTTCTTTTTTATCTAGAGTTTCCGTTAATATAAGCCACCCATGTGGCTCAATATCCGAATACGTCGCTAACCATTTAATGTACTCTTTATGAAACCACATTTAGTTTTACTGAGAAAATAAGCTACATGTACATACATTATAAAGATGCTTTGTCGTCTCCTCACCAACGTGGGACAAACAGAATATTCCGAGTCCCCATGGGCAATCGAACCTCCGACTTTAGACCTTCGGATTCCACGCTCCGATGCTCTACCTCTGAGCCACAAGGACTCTATGGTGAGCAAAGTTCATTACGAAGTTCATATGCGACACGTGTCCTGCGCAATGTTAGGAGGGCAACGTCGATGACGTCATGTTTTGTAAAGAATAAGAAAGATGGTAAGTTTTGAGCTCGGTAAAGAAATTTAAAGATTTTTTTTTCGTCTATTTACAAGTGTGGGACAAAGAAAAAATTCTGTACAATGTACATATATTGTAGAATTAAAGCTATTTTCGATCAAATAGCAGTAAAACCATTGCGATCACCACAGACAAGAAAGAAGAGATATCTTCAACTTAAAAGCCAAGGAAACAACCTGAAGTGAATGATAACGAAAGTAGCGATCCGTTTTCGTTTTGCATCTGATTGATCGAGAGGGTACCGGGAGGTCCCCATGTCAAGAGTGAAGCACACCAAAACTTACGCAAATCTGCATAATGTTTGACACGCAATTGATAATCCCCTCGAGAACATAATGAATAACTACTAAGCAATTGTTGGGTTAGATTGAGCATGATAGCATGATCTAGTAAAACGTGAGCACGGTTATTGAAATCTTAGCCCGCTGATTGGCCAAACGGAGCCAGACTATTTAACAATTATTCGCCGAAGGGGAGGTGAATATCGTCGAATAATCCCCGAGACGAAGTCGAGGGGATTATACGACAATATTCGCCGAACCTGAGGCGAATAATTGTTTTAGTATAATTTCAGAGTTGAACAACAGAGAAATTTCTAAAATCATAACATTTTAGTAACATTTATTAACATTTTATTTTAACATTTTATATAAACCGCGTGGAGCGGTTTATATAGCGTCATATAAGGAACCGCTCGACCAATCAGATTGCTGGAAACTCTTTGCTCAGCTCTGAAATTATACTAATAACTTATAACCTAGCCCCGACAAATATGGTCAATGAAATCTCTCAAGCACGTGAATGCACTTTGGAAAAATTACGTGCCTTGAAATGAATGTTGACACGCGGAAATGCATCCTTTAATTTTGTTGTCATGTTTCCACTTCCACATTTTTTCCAGAGATTTTCGTGCGTTTATACACGTTGCAATCGTAAGTATGCAGAGAAAAATTGAATAGCCTTCAAATTTTGGGTACTTAAAAGAACGCGTGGTATTGATTATTTTACGCGGCCGTGGAAATTTCTTACGCATGTTTTACGTACGCGAAAAAAAAAAAAAAAATTACGCGACACTGGAAGTAAAACTTCAGATTAAAGGTTACTTTTAAAAAGGGCTTAGTTGAACGCACAGACAAATCCTATAGTGAATGGTCCAGGCCAGATCTACTCCTTGTATATTTTCCATATATTTTCGAGAATAGTAATTCATTTTAAAGATGATGAACTGCATATAATACTTTCATGATTACTGATATGTTTTAGGGCTCAACTTATTACTCTATAATTACGTGTGAATCAGATCATGTGCTCTACACAACTGCTTTATTAGAAAACTATGAAGTTAATTACATACAATATAAGCATAATCACATGGCTGCGGTCAAGGGTGTGCTAACTAATAGAATATGTGGATTAATCCTCTTTGGTATTTATCCAAATAGGAACAAACACTATATTAACTTCATTTGCTGAAGGCGCTTCAGTTTGTAAGCTGGTCTCCGTGTTCAAATGTACAGAATACAATTAGGATACGTGGATCATAATACTCTTGGATAACCGTGATTAACTTTTTAATATGGGGCTGTCAGTTTTTCTCTTTTCATAGTTGGTTATCTGAATGAAAAAAAATGTCACAGGAGGCGAAAGTAGAATGTGTTATTTGCGTGGGATAAAAAGTTGTGCACAGTTGTTCAAAAGATGACCAGTGTAAATTCAAACTCGGTGTTGAACGTGTAAACGGAATCTATCCGTGCTAAAGTATTTGTGTAGCTACCTCCCCTAAGTAAATTAGTTGTAACTCTTGACCTCGCATTTGTTAATTTTATTTTCATTTGTACCCTTGAAAATGGCGTCAAGAAGTCGCCGAAACGTCGGGATATTATATCGCTCGTTTTTACCTGTCTATGCTACCGAATTCTACCATATACTACCCAATATTCATGTAAGTGCTAGGGGATTAACATAGATCAAAATCGTTTCGGTGACTAAAAATTTCTTGCAAACATCTCTTATGTCAACACATTTATAAATAATAACTGGGGAATGGTACTTCCTACATACTTTGAGTGAACTTATGGCAACTGCCTTTAAAAGGAAATGAGAGGAAATTGTTTGAGGATAGCCATGTATAGACCTTGAAAGATAGTTAACAAGTATTCATCGAACTAGTGGAGAAGTCTAGTTTTGAATTTACGTACCGAGCCGCGAAACTGTGAGGTTAATATCCATCTCTGGCCAGCGAATCTAAGGTGAATAGTTCTTTTAGTATATATGGGATATTAACCAGGCGGGAGGTCAAGATCGCTCTTTTTTTTTTTTTTTCATTTTTATGGACCGAGACGAAGTCAAACAAACAATAGAATCCGTGTATAATACGCACCGCAATTTTGATGGTTATTTTTATAGAAATACAGTGCGTATTATAAACGGATAAATTCGGTACAATATTTTCGGCCGCGTGTGAGTTGCTCGGAGGTGAATAGCAGAGGATATTCGGAGTTTGAGTAACCAAACAGAGCTTGCCTTCAACGCTATTTACCTTTTAGCACATTCTGACGACTAATATATTCTAGCTTATTAACAATGCTTTTTCCATTTCTAAGAAGTGTGAGACCACAGTACCCTAGATGCGGTAAACTATAAGCTTCGTAAAGGCAACGCTTGAATATCACACGAATCTCGCTACTTTAAATGCCTTGGTTGTCAGGATCATTTGAGCAAACTAAACAATTTTTGTAAGAGCCGTGAGCTTCTTCATGTCTTCCAAACTAAAAAGCTATCACTTTTATGGTAATTTTCACTGATTCAAACATAAGTCAGAGATTAGTCTCGGTGATGATTTTTTGTAATTCTGTCGATTCATTCTGCAAAAGAGTTCCGATCTCCTTGCTTTCTTTTTTTTCCTGATCCTTTGGGAAAATCCAGGTAACAAACGCGACAGCAAGATACATCAGAGCTGTTTTAAACAAATCATTCACAGACCCTCTCACAAAATAGAATAGCCCAGCTGTCATCACCACACCGAACAGGAAGAGGGCAGCAAGTAAAAAGATTATGCAGAGAAACGCAAACCTGAACTTAACAAGTTTGGCTTCTGACTTAGTACAAATAAGGTGATAGACTGGGTAAACTATGGCAAAAATGGCAACACAAATAACGAGTAGAACAAGAAGACCCCATGATGTGTTAAGCATTATTCCAACTGCAAGCCAGCAAAAATGAAACGCAGTGAGGTTCCCCCACACAAAGATACAAAATCTTTGCCATAATCCATAACATGTATTTTCTGGGATAAACGCAAAAGTCGTCGGAGTAACTAATGGAACAATTACTATCCCTGTAATTGAGAGCCCAACAAGAAAACCCAACATGCACCACAGAACTATCGAGTTTCCTTGCGCCAGTAACGTTAGAACTGTTATTTGAAGCCCAAACTCTACTAACAATAACAAGTAAATTGCCACTTCAATAGCCTTTGCTAAATTTTTTCTACTATCATCCTCCCTGGCTGCTTCTTTGAAGAATATGAAAACTCGAAAGGATAACAATGGACCAGACAGATATGCGAAACCAAACGAACCAATTAGAAGTACAATAACCATGTAATATTGACGAGATTCTGTTAAAGTGGATATGTCTGGAGTATGACCCTTTGTAATGCACTCAGCTGTGTTAAGTGTTGGATCTTGGATCGTTGGACTGTAAGCTAAGTCCTGAAGCTGTAGGAAAAAATTTGCTTTTAGTAGTGTTCTACAAATTTCAATGCGGACTGCTCCAAAGACCACCCAGCCGAAATCACGCCTATGATTACAGCAACACCATTTTCTTGTTTTAATTCATACCTAAAACTCAAACTGAAATCCTCGTTGGTCTTATGATGCCCAGTTAACAATTAACAATTTTCCCTAATCCTAACCTGCATACAAAATACTGTTTCTTAGGGAGTGGTGACGGAGATGGTCGATAGAGAGTGGACCTCATGCCTCAACCCATTTTTTTTAGACACACAGTGAGTGGGTGGGGAGCCATGCCGTCCGTAACAGTACGACTGCTTACTAACCGAGTACGAAGTCTCTACCGTATAAGTTGCCGACCGAGTTTTTTTCCTCATATGATGTATGGCCCTAGCGAGTGCATACGTCCTTAATCGGACATGAAATAGGTAAAAAAAAAAACTGCCCGGGAAGAAGGGGTTAGAATTACCCACAAGCCCTGTAGGAGGATCAGATAAATTTGATATGACACAACCATAATCCTCCCCCTCCCCTCCCCTCCCCTCAAAAGGTGATATATAATGACAGGTCACTGAAAATTTTCTTCTCTTCCTCTCAGGCCAGGGGTACTAGATTTTTCCAAACGGACCGAACGCGAGCTAAACGGTTAGATATTATATTTCTATCATTTCCGCTGGTTCCGGATCATAGACCGTATCGTAATCAAAAAGCTGGATAGGTTCCCCGCGCGCGATTAGCAAATCACACGCAAGGAGTTAAGATTCCAGCTCCTTGAGATGCTTCAGAAAAAAATTAATAAAGCCCAACTTTTTTTTTCGCTTCTTCGATTTGCCTATGGACGGGGAAAGACCGGTTCACATTGGTACTTCTTGACCAGTCCAGTGGAATTCAGAATGCTCACACTAAGCCTGCGTAGCTAGCCTGTACATACATAAGCTGAAACTTGCCTAACTCTTTTCCAGGGTTGTTTACCGAAAAGGAAAGAGTCGTTTTCACAAATTAGTTTCTTACCTCAGACAAGGCCCTTTGGATGATTGTATATCGCTCATTCTCTGAAACATTGCAGCAGAATGGCAAAATTGAGATCTGTAATTCTCGTGAGCGATATGTATCAAATATGGACCAGAGGGATAGGACTTCAAGAATTCTAGCAGGGATGGCAGCGTACAGGCATGACATACTCCACGTGTACAGTATGGGTGAAGAGATTTCTGTTCGGTTGAATGCAGACAAGTTGACATGAACCAGAACAGCTGACGGCTCCCTTGAGGGATACAGAGCAAGCGCGATGTTGAAGTAATTTCGCTGAGATGTTAGGGTGTTGTAAACATCACCGTAGGTTTCGCTACAAGTTGTATGATTTGTACATTCACTGACCACGTCTGCTTGAGCGTTATGAAAGAGGTAAGTGGCATGCATCAGGAAGAGAAAGAAAACTGAAAACTTCTGCGAAGTAACCATCATGGTTTCCTGTACAGACGAGAATAGACTTTCTTTGTTTCCTGGAACGACATTCGTATAAAGGAACCTGGGGCTCGTTTCTCGAAAGTTCGGGTAACTTACGGGCCCGAAGCCATGTTTTAAAATCAAAATTTAAACAATAGGAAAGCAGGTTCTGGCACCCAAACCAGTCTTTTTTGTTCCTTTAGCTGATAGTTTTATTGTATCATTTTCAAAACTTTTGAAATCTCCATCTTGAATGACAACAGAACAGCTTTACGGGACTTTCGAGAAACGGGCCCCACGCTGACAATTAACTACTTTCTGCATTTGGGTTTTTCGGGATAGACAAGACATCAGGGAGATTCCCAAAGCAACAAAACAGAATGCAACCAGAGAGCTCGAAGATTCTTTGATTGTGTTGAAAGGTGTGCAAATAACGTTATCTATCTACCTATCTATCAAATAGCTGGTATACATGACCTCTCGAATAGGGTGGCTTTTTTGGCTTTATCTTCCTCTCAACAGAGAAGGGCGCAATAATTATGTTTTTTGTTTTTTGTTTTTTTTTTTTTTGAGAATATCGCAAGTATCAGACACGACAGAATTTCGCTTGTATCTTACTCGTTTAATTCCACATCTGTTTACGCACTCGTGCGTGAGGTACTTTGAATGAATTTATTTTGAGACTGGGTACGAATCGATAATATGATGATTGATTGTTGACATGATAATACACGGTGAAAAATTCCTTCAGCATGACTCACATTTGACGGGCCCTTCCCAGCCGTATTAATTTAAAAACTTTTCAGTTACTCGATCTCAGATCGTAAATTTACCAATCATTTCCTTACCACCAAATTGATTCAAAAGTTTGGCGTGCGGCCTAGCTTTTCGAGGGGCAGCTTACACTAGCTTATCCGCGGGTAAATGCAGTTCTGACACGACCATGACAGCGCTGCTCAACCGGAAGTCTCTGAGAGAAACTAGCACCAGAAATATGAAACCCAATATGCAGAAATGATACCTACTAAGAGGATATGATCTCTTGGACCTACCAATTGATTCACTCTGTTATGAATTTACAAAGAGTTGTCATAGATATTCCCATAATTCCCATAGCTTGTGCATAATTAGTTGAGCGGTGAGGCAGGTGGTTTTGTTCGAATTTCGAATAAGAAATCGAGGAAAGCACGCTCGACATCGTTCGTCGATGTTGTAACAAATACGTGCACTTATAAGAATCATAATTTCCCACCTCAACGCGCTATTTAGCCCAATATCAACTCAATATCAGATTAAATATTTCATTTATCCTTGCGCTCTATATAAATATATGACATCAAGTCTCCGAAGCCACAATCACTTCATAACAGAGAGGCCAGCGCTTAGGCTAACAAGACAGCTACAACTGTTTCATGAAAAAGTATACATTTTGAAGATCCCTTCGACAAAGTCGCTGCCTATCAGTACTTTAGCTTTCAGTGAATTTAAAAGCTACGTTTGTAGCTGGAAAATCATAACAGGGCACAATGTCTTCTTGATCAAGACTCAATTCGTTCTTCGTTCTTAAGTATTACAGGTTCGCTGATAACAGCACTCTGGATTTTCGCTGGTTGTGTATACTAGTCAAAATCAACCACATGACAAGCTAACACTGGGTTCATAAAGTTGTCTAAGGAGTTCAGAGTCCTTTGCCAATTTTCAAACTTCTTTTCATAAAGTAAAATATAAAACATTAATTAGTCACGAGGAACTCTATATAATTATTGTAAATTCTCATGTTATTTGACGTCTGAGATGCCTCTGCTAGCGAGCTTTCAACGAGAACTGAGTGGACTGAAAGATCCACCTTTCTCCTAGTCTTTAAGATCCACCAGCACTATGCACGAAATTCTTACTAAGCACACAGATGACTTACCAGACACGTCGCTTCAATCTTTGTTGTTTTCATGCGGAACCCGAGCCGGATGTTATATGACACCTCGCGAGTCTTATATGACGACAAACATCGATTAGCGCTTCTTTTCCACAGATAGTTGGTTTGAGAGGAGAGATTTTATATATAGATCAAAGTGTTACGGCCCGTCAAACTCCTACCATAGAAAGTGTAGTATGATGTAAAGTATGTAGATACTTGTAAATTATATTACGTTAACCAATGAATTAGAATATGTGAAAATCATCTGTGTACTGCTGTTTCATGAAATGTATCAAAGCAATCCTGGCAGTAATGAACCCTACTTATTTAGTGGTGGAAATAAGGCCTGAAATATCAAGTTTAGTTCGGTTCAAAGCAGAAAGCGCGAGCGGGTGGGTTAAAATAAGATATTCTTCGTTACAAAGCTTTCGTAATACAGAAATAAAATCGGCCCGCTTGTTGTTTTCAATTGATTTGACGGTTTCGAGTCTCCAACAATTCCAACTGGGGTGGGGGGTTTGGATTCTTTTTACGGACTTAATTCGTCTATACAAGAGAATTTCTCGGTATATCCAAATCAGCAACCCGATCCTGGGAAGTTTTCCCCTGCAAAAATTGTCCTCTCAGTTCAGAACTGACTACACGGATTCTGATATGGTTTGTAACCCAAGGTAAATTGAACAAACAGCAGTAATGACCAATTTTCGTTTAAATTTGGCAGTATAGGACTGTCACCCCTCCACGGCCAAGCTTGGCTGTAAGCGGTTAGTTGTCCAGACACTTTTCTTTCAATTAATTGCAGCGACTGAATACAATCTTTCTAGCATTCCCTTCTTTCTTTTCCAGCCCATAAAAGGTGACATGAATTATAGAGCTGTGAGTGTACCTTGTTAAACATGAAAAATGTGACATCATATTTCCATGAAAACACGCTCTAGCGCAACCTTCCCCCTTTTGTTCATCTGCAAGACTTTAGCAATGATAGTGAGCCTCCCTTACTTTTAGGCCCAGGAGAGGGCGGGGTCAACTCGACCCAAATACAAAAAAAATGGGGTAATGCCTGAAATTAGAAAAAGAAAAAGAAAAAGTACAGGAATGGGCGAAATGCCTAAAAGTAGAACATGTCTCGCACTGTGTTTAAGGTTTGGTCATAAGTGTCTTCCAAGTTAAACTTCTCTCATTAACACAAACGCTTCATGAAAAGGGCTAACTTCGTAACTGCGTTGGGTAATTACAACAGCATAGACAACACCACAGGAGGTCTTCTTTTTAACATAATTTTTTTTTTATTATTATATTCCAACCTTAGCGCATGAACAGTGCCGTCGATATTTTGTCATGGAAAGCTTTACGCAACGAATAACTGTTTAGGAATGGCTGCCGAAATCGCAATTTGGTTATTTTAAAGCTTTATTTTCTATTTTCTGTTTTTAAACATGGACGGTACTCCGACAGCTTGAAAGGCTCGAGGAGGATCCCTTGGGCCAGGTACCGTGAAAGGAATCAGGCCTGTGGAAAAATCACACGAACAGAGTTAAAACATGAAGATCCACAATTCGATTACAATAGACAGAGCGCTTCTCGACCAGTGAGCAATTGCAAAGCGTGGTAATCTCTCCTTTAACTCGAAGCTTTACCAAAAGTAGCGTTATCATCCTAGTCTGTGTATATCCACCCGTGCTCTGGCAAAGAAAATAATGTCGGTAGACGGGTCAAAACTACTGTTCTTCAGACCGCTGACGAAATTCGACCGCACGATCATACGTGTGATGTACGACATCTCAGAGTTCCTTTGCTAAATTGCTGATAAACTCTTAGTACCCTTTCCACGTTTTTTTTTTTTTAAGTTTTGACCAGTAAATGTAGAAGCTGTAAGAAGTCTGAAGGAGTTGTAAGCCACAGGGGTCAATGTAGAAATTTAGATTGTTTCAGACGTTTTCCAAGCCGCCTTCAGGAAAATAAAACCATGTTACTGGTCACTTCGCCGACATGTTAGCTCGCTGACAACCAACTCGCTAACATCTTTGCTCAACAAACCGACACCACTGGTCAACTCGCCAACACCTTTGTTTAACTCGCCAACATCTTTGTTTAACTCGCCAAAATCTCTGGTCAACTCACTGACAACTGTTCAACTCACCAACATCTTTAGTCAGCTCACCGACACCACTTGTCAACTCACAGAAAAACGTCGGTGAACACGGTGACATTAATTTCTGTTACTCGATTTATTACCAATGACCAAAGACGACTGTAAGCGAGTTGACTATGGTGTCAGCGAGTTGACATGTCGGCGAAGTGACTGGTTACCAAACCATAGATTAAACTCCACAATACATCCCAACAGTAACTACCTTTATCTCGAGCTTCGATAATCGCCTTTGTTAAGAGTTTGTGCTGTTTTTGACAAACACCTGGAACAATGAGAGAAGAAAAATTGACGCAATTGAATACTTTCACTCAATTTTTTTTAAGGCCGAAAAACAATGAGATAAACAAGCAATGTAAAACAAACAAAAAAAAGCTATGTGATCGAAGATACAGGCGCCCATATTGACCAATATACAAGCTTGACCTTTAACAGCCTAACATCAGAATGCATATTCTCCCTACTGTTCTCCAGTTTTCCTTCAGTGCTGACATGGAGAATTTGTTTAACAATCAGGAGCTTCTCCAGTTGGTAATCACTTTCCTTTATTGCTATGTTTAAGAGGTTTTTAGTTTTCATATCCTCACTAAAATAACTTCCTCGACCCTTTAGTAGAAAGTACTATCACCTGTTTTGCTCGTTTGAAGAATCATTCCTGTATGAGGGCAGATAAACTGTGACAACAAACCCACATCCTGAAATTAAAATTAAGAGTAATCAATAAAATCCTTCCTCACCATGTAGCAAGGGTACAATGTACAACCAGTTGTCACATCTAGAGTTATTAATTATAATTAAAAAGCTGACATATTTGTAAGCAAAACCACTTATAAAATGGTCTGAAAATGGACTGCTGTGACAGGAAGCACCTCATACGACCAAAGATATAAATAATTCAGTTACCAACAGTATGAGATAATTAATCTAATATAACAATATATATGATTTCTCATATATTCTTAGCATAACAAACTTAATGATCTAGTACAGCAAAATGGTGTTGTTTCCACAAATACATTAAAGCAGTACTTAACAAGTTATTTCTTTCTTGAGTTACTCACCGTATAAACCAAGTCATACCTTCTACCTGCTTTGAGTTGACAAATGGGGCAGGGATTACTGCATACTTTGGTACCAGCCTAAAAAGGGAAATATATTAAGGTTGTTGCATTTTACAAAATTCATGACTCTGGTTGCTATTAGTGATGACAAAAATTTTTTGAATTGACCTTTCATATTACTATAAAGAAAATACTTAGCTAAAATGTTACTGATTAAGGTTATCAGATTGGAAAAATACAAGTCAACATCCTGTAATGAAAAAAATCCGGGTGTTCTTCCAAACATTTTTGAAAACAACTTGGTCCATAAAAGCAACAATACTCATCCAAAATATCAAGCCCATTTTTAAACCTAGATGGTTTTCAACTTTATAAAGAAGTATGGGTTCCAATTCTAGCATCAAATTTGAAGACAACTTTGCAATTCTTGGAAGATAGTACAATAACAAATATGGGCCACAGCAGCTACCTGATCATGTATAAACTAAACAAACAACCAAGAGTGCAAACTACAATCCAATCACATAGCACAAACCTTATTTTTTTCACAAGCATTGTAAAATGTAATTGTAATAATGGAGATGTCAGATTCATCTGGTGGTAAAATCTCAACTGTGTACAGCCACCTCCTGCCGTAACAAAATCTTTTTTTCAATTTCTTCGAGAGGGTAGTGGGCAGCTGGACACAGGCTAGCCAAAGCAACAGGGTATTTCTAAATCAGGATCTAGTGTAGATCCAGCCAAAATTTAAAATCAAAACTTACAAAGCAGTTCCGCCGGGTTTTCTGTTAAGAGAAACAGAACACAAAAGGCAAGTAAGCAACTAGACTAGGATTGCAGCCACAGATCATAACACAAAGCTTTCCCAAAAAAAAAAATCCCACAAAATAAAGTGCCAGAGATGGCAGGCCTATAATATTGACTCAACAACAAAATCATACAAAATGCATCAACTAAATGTCTGTAGGCTTCATGAATACTTTGAGGATAATTTAAAAAAATTAAAGAACACACTTTACCTGAGGTGGAAACTGGCCTTTAAAATTTCTTCGAAAACTTGTCCAGATTGGTTTTCCACCTTGAGCAAAAATGGAATATGTTAAATGAAAACTATAAGACAATTAATAGATAACATTTTTTAACTACTTAAAATTGGAGCTGCCTAATTTTTATCATAATCATTGATTAATTGATTATCATTATAAGTATCATCATCATTAGCAATTAATAGTGTTTCACATGTTGATACCAGACTACAATGATAAAAGAGGAGATGTTAGAACTTGCTCAGCCATGAATGGGCATATTTATTAAAATCAACACCTGTGATGATATAGGAATATTACAATGTAACTGAGATTAACACCTGGGTCAAACATTTACAGACGAAGCCTACTGGCTCACACTTATGCAGTATTATAAGAATTACCAGGCCAGAAAACTTGAAAATGTTCCAGAGTCAATCTACAAGATATGTAAAAAATTTGTGATTAGTAAAATTGACACATATTGACATTCCTGCATCCAAATGCATGCATATTGCAAACAGTATTCTCTGAGATAAGAATTCCAGTGATAATTCAGATGAAATAATATTTGCAATTTGGCCCATGTGGCTCTCTATTTTGAAGTGCATTAATTTTATCTTGTAGTTTAAAATGTTGAATAAGAGTAGTTTGATTTGTGTGTTTTTGATTCTTTTGAGAGTATGTCTAAAAAATGGGAAATAGATAAGAAACTGGTTTGAAACCAAATAATCTGGTTAATAATATACATGAAAAAATTATTCACTTCTGATTGGCTTAAAATGAGTATATTTTTCATGTAGCATTAGCACAAAGTTGTAACACAAATAGCTTGCAGATGCTTTCAAAATTTAGTCTGCTTTTTTTCATATATAATTATTGTTAATAAGTAAAAACATGATTCTCCTGCAATTTGATGTAAATTCATGAGCACTTGTAAAGTTTTTTAAGATTACAAATTGCTCATGCAGTTTTGTTGTCTTTGGAAAATTTACTTGTGCTTATTGTGCTTATTATTACCACCAAATCGTACTCAAAATCAGATCGTGGCCTATACTTAATCAACTGAGTTAACACCATGGAGAGCTTCTGCTAAGGGTTTGAGTGTTTGCCCTTTGCAAGAGAAAAAAAGGAAGGATTAGTGCTCACAACAACAGCTTGAGAAGCTCTTTACAATGCCCAATTTATATGATCAACTCAGTGAATAAAACCAAATTATCTTAAATTATAAAAATCTCCACTGATGCAGTACCACAGTTTCTGAATTAGGAACTCACCCCATTTATTCATTAGTTGGAAACCATTTTGATCCAAATTTTCTCTTAAACTACTACATATATACATTGTAAATCAAAAAAAAAATACATACTTATCAGTAGAATATGGATCAATTATTGCAACCTCAATTTTGCTGACAAGACTATTGCGCATTGTTAAAGGCAGCCATTGCTCTTTTCCTGTGAAGAAATTAAGAAGAAAAAACAAAAAAAGAAAACAAGAATATGGTAATTCCACATCAAAATGATTGTAGATTTTAGACAGGGCTTACAAACCATTGGCTTTCCATTTAACAAATAAAGATTTACAAGGAGAGATGTCTGAGCCAAAAGAATACCCACTTCTCCTTGGCTGAAAACTGTCAGTAACAATTAAAAAAAAGACAATAAATTCATACTTAACCCCATAGCTCCCAGAAGTGATTAACATGTAACCCTACAATATCCATTCATTATCCAGCAAACAGGTAATGAGAATACTCAAACTCATCAGGTAGAAGTTATTACCTTGATCTTACACCAAATTCTCGTAACTAATGTACAAAGAGACATGTAGAAACTAGAGGTAAGAATTAATAATCAGATCATTCTTGGAAGTTAAAAAGGTTAAGTTAAAAGGCTAAGTTACCGTATTGTACACTTCTGAGAAGTTCTGCTGTAATGGGGGTGATAACTCTGCTGGCCAGAATATTTGTCACCTTTCTGGAATGAGTAATTCCTAGAAAATATTGTGGGTAAATTAAATTTGATGAGTTTCATATTTCTTCTAAAAGGATCCTTTATGATCTTGTTAATAAAAGTTGTACCTAGCTTGACTGTTTGATACGGAGCCTGCAAAGGGCCATTATCAAACATAATTATTTGAGGAGTTATTTGACGAGTTACGTGACGAGTTATTTGATGAGTTTTGTGATGAGTTATTTGACGAGTTATGTGACCAGTTACGTGACGAGTTATTTCACGAGTTATTTGACGAGTTATGTGACAAAGTGGTCCAAGTGAGAGTAGGTCTGAGATGGACATGGCAGATACATCATTCAACAAGGTATGTTTAACACAGCTTCTGGTAAATTTGCTGGCAATAAATTCCACTGAACTAAACACACGAAGATTTATGGGTCGTCGCGTTTAACTTGAAGTTGGAGCGTCGCTTCTTAACTACCATCACAACATTCATAAAATTATTCAACATTCTGATAATGCTTTGGTTTTTTGCCCATATTTTATCTCTTGCAAAAAGGTGGACTGGTTGTTACCACAAAAAGAAATGGTTCAACTGTGTCCAGTTCTCTGGAGCACAGTGTGTTGCAGTTATTTGGGATTCTTGGTTACAGTTTAATCCATTTACCAGTAGCTTTTGTCTCTGGTAGCAGATCTGGCTCAAGTAAATGAAAGGCTGGATAAGTTTATCTAGTGAATGAGTCACTATCTACCAGTACCACTGTAAGGTCAGATAATGGAAAGATTGCTATATTGCAACATCTCACTAGCAAATATAGATCTCAATCTGCTTAGCCAAGCACAGGATACTAAATCCTTTACAATTTTTTCACTAGCAGTACTTTTTAAAAACTGGTTATTGACTTGTCCACCAGAGAATGTTATCCATGCTTTGGTGTTCAAAGCCTGCTTTACAGCAATAGTGTATGGACATTTTACAGAAACAAAATGCCCACTGATTACTTCTGCATGTGAAAAGTCAATGAAGCATCTGCTATGCTGGCCTGTAGCTAATAATTAGTGTTTATTGTTCAAAACATGAAATAAGGAGTTGGTTAAGGGCTGCTTTATTTTCAAGCAAACAGCCATACTATCTTGTTTAAAATATATCAAAATTGTTGTTGTTGTCACAGTTCACATTCTGTCAGAGAAACTGGGAATAAACCACTTTTGATACATGCTAAATAGTTGTCCCATCAAAATATCAAAACGAGGCTCTCC